AGAGGCGCCACCGCCTCTACTCAACCCACAGCCCAGCACCCACCTCTCTTCAGCACCACCTACTGTCCTCTCAAACAATGTTGCACACCCCAACAACACTGTACCCCACTTCTCGGCCCCTGCACCCAGAGTCTCGCATCGTATGCAGCCACCAGGGCCTTATTATTCCCTTTCTGAGCAGCAGCAGCAACAGCAGCAACAGACACAACAGCAGCAGCAACAACAATCTGTGTTTGTGCCCTTCAGTGCTCAGCAAGAACTCCCGAAACAGACCCAAAACCAAACGTCCCAGCCCACAAGTTTGCCTCCACAAGCCCAGACCCAAGCTCAAGCCCAGGCTCCAGGCTCCCTTCAGGTTTCCACTAGCCTGGGGATGATGAACAGTTCCCAGATGCAGCATGTGGCCAGTGCAAGCAAGGCTCAGCAGATACCCCCAAACTTTGGTCCTGCAGGGCTCTTCAACTTCAGCACCATCTTTGATAACAATAACCAGGTGAGTTGAAGTAACCTTTGCATTATAAAACAGACTGACATGTTGTTTTGCCTTTTGGCTGCTCTTAAGTATTGATTTTAAATGACAGAAGGAAATGAAATACTTGAACAAAATTACAAAAGCTGAACAGAATTACCAAACAGTACAGAAGCCTTGGTTTCTTAAACTGCTGTCACATAAGATCAGTCATGCACCTAATAATTATATTTCTGTTTATGAATTGTGCTTGCCTTGCAGGTTGGAAACAATCAGGTGTGGGGTGCACGCCATCTGCCTGCTCGCTCACCTCCAGAGCAGTCGTTCTCAGGCCCAGCAGCCTACATGAGCATGGGCCAGATGGAGAATATGATGCCCCCACCCCCTCCAGACAGCTCCAAAGCCCCTGGCTACCGCTCAGCCTCCCAGAGGATTGTCAACAGCCCCATCGGTATGACGGGGTTAAACCATGTGGGATTGGTAATCAGTTTTTAGGAGGAATCTTACTGAAATAACAGCATTAACATAATATAAGCAACCAAATATAATTAATTCATATTCATGAGATAAGGTTGTAGAAACGTATGTCTTTACATGAGGCTGTGTTTATTAGTAAGGTGAGGTTTTTCGGTAATTCCTCCTTTACATTGAACTGTTTCTTTAAATATCTGCACCCACAGCTTTGACCAGCTATGCCACCAGTATCTCGGGTAACCCTGTGTATCTGCACAGTCATGCACCAGCTGGCGCACCCTCATTCAACAGACAGCACTTTTCCCCTCACCCATGGAGTGCATCTACATCAGGTATCAGCCACACACTTCTCTTTTTATAGTAGCTTGTTGGCTTTTTAAACTCATGAATGGCATTTTATTGGCTTATTTTCTCTTTATGTTAAGCAGTGTGCGAGTTTTAAGGTACTGTGCATATTTATCTTTTGGTAATACTTGCATGTCTGGGACAGCTATGACTCAGGAGGTAGAGCGGGTTGTCCCCTAACCTTAGGGTTGGTGGTTTGATCCCCAGTTTCTCCAGCCCACTTCGAAGCCTGAACCCCAACTTGCTCCCAGTTATGTCACTGGCGTGTGTGTGAGAACATTGGTGTGCACAAATGGATAATAGTGTGAAGTGTTTTGAGTGCATGTCAATTGCGTATAAGAGCGCTATGTAAGACCATTTACATTTTCAGTCTGATCTGCTCCTAACTATTTTTTCCCTGTTCTGTCTCCTCTCCACTAGGTGAATCACCTGTCCCACCTCCCTCTACGGGGACTTCCTCCTCCCTTTCCACTTCTGCAGTGGCCCCTCCTCCTCAGCCTAAGCCAGGCAGCTCATCGCAGCAAGATCGGAAGGTTCCCCCACCCATCGGCACAGAGCGGCTGGCCAGGATCAGGCAGACAGGTTCGGTCAACCCACCTCTTCTCACCACCAGCTACACGGCATCTGTTGGACAGGGAGGCATTTGGTCATTTGGGGTTGGCAGTGCTTCTGGTAAGCGCAAAATGAGTTTTCCTTTTTTGTTTCCTATAGTTGGAGGGGACCTTCAGTCAACAGGGGAAATGGTCTATACAGTATCTGTCTCATTAACTGATGTCTAGTGATAAGGCTATAACCCCTTGTGTGTCTTGGTACAGAGACCATGTCTGGTTGGTCCCAGCCCCTGATGAGCAGCCACATGATGCATCCTCAGCTGCAGGCAGAGCAGTCGGCCTTCTCTCAGCACCAGCCCATGGAGCAGGACGACACAGGCATTGCAAACCCTGCTAACAACTACCACCATTTGCCCAACAGTTACATGGACTTCCCAAAGGTAGCACAAAGCCATAGTTCTACAGATGATTTAACCTCTGTTTCTCATGTGCATGTTTTACAAGTTAACCATTGTCTGTTCAGGGAATGCCTGTGTATGGAGGAGCCATGCTGCCTCATCCACCCATGGATGGGCCAGGGGGACCTATATACAATGGATTGCACGCTAGTGACCCCGCGTGGAATCCCATCATCAAAGTGGTCCCAAACAGTGCAGATAACTCTGACCCACAACAGCAGGTAATGTTCTATTTTATCATAACAATACTGTCTCTGCTTATGCTTGAGGTTAAAACTGCCAGGCTTGTATTTCTGTTGTTAGTTCTGATATTTACCCCTTATTGCCCCTCTTTTCTTCAGGTGTGGCCTGGTACCTGGGCACCTCATGTGGGCAATGTGCACCTGAACCATGTCAACTAGAGGACGTCCACAGCAAATAAAACGCACACAGCATGACCCACAGCGCAAACATGAAAATACCAACTGATAAATATGACAGAATAAGATGGCAAAAAAAGAAAAACATACTTGTTATCTTTAGTAGAAACCGGGGAGTGCAGAGCAGAGGCTGCAGAATTGGAGGCTCTCTTGACACCTTTTTTGATGTGCCTATCTCAAATAAGGAAGGAGGAAATTGGGTGAGAGCTGTTCTCAGTGTCTTGATGATGCAAACAAACATGCGCAATCACCTGTTCAACAGGATCCATTCTCTGCGTAGTTTAGCGATTTTGACTTAAACCCACATACACCGTTCTTGGGCTGCAGGGGGCTCAACATGAAGTAGCTATTTAAACTTGGCCCAGAACTAGATGATTACGTAAAGAGAAATCAGAACCTTTTAGAGTGGTAAATACATGTATAATTGTTTACATACTAAAAAGGGTTAAAATGAGAGTAAATTTCATGTCGTATAGTGGCTCTACTTTATGTAGCCTGTATTAATGTGAAATATTTACCTTAATATTCAATAAAAAGATTGAAAAGTATTTGTGTGCTGTTTTATGAAATGTTTTAAAACTTATTTTCATATTTTGAATGAACAGTTTACCTGTGCCTTTAACAGACAGCTTGGAATACATACATAAATACATTTCATCTAATGAAATTGTTGTTTTTGGCTCCTTTTGAAGTCTCAGCTCTGATGTTCATCATAACATCTGTCTTTATGGTGGCAAAATGGCCCTCAAGAAATGTAATTCATCTCAAGATGTATATGTTGAATTAGTTTAAGTTTTCATCATACTCCATTAATAAAGAGCCATATTTAATTATAAAGCAGAGCACTTTAACTGACGTTTGAAATATTAAATTAAAATTTTTAAGTTTTGAGTGTACACTCGGTCGACAGGGTCAACAACAACTTAACATTGTCATCTTCGTGTTCTGCGCTGCATACACAGCAGGCGGCAGTCGCCAGGGGAGGTTAAGCACTAATGTAAACTAGCTTGTGCTCTGCTGTTTAAAATATCGAGACTTCTATTGTGAAGTGTGAGGTCAAAGTGTAACCGGAAGTGTAGATGTGCAAGTGCTGCAGTTCAAGGTAATCATGGTGGCAGCGACAACACCAGTAGTCCCAGAGCAAACACCGCCGTCTGGAGCTGTGACATTTGACTTGTCTCAGCCCCCGCATATCGAAGGCTTCGACGCTTTACCGAGGCCCAAAGATGAGCCTTTCAAAGAAAAATTTATTAGAAAAACCAAGGAGAACCCATTTGTCCCAATAGGTGAGATGCTAAATTAGCCATATGATTGCAGGCAATGGTAGCTACGTTAGTTAGCAGCAAATAAACAGCAGCTAACTAGCATGCTTTGTTTTTTAAACGCTAGTTATTTTCATTTCATTTCTTATACTTGAAGCCCTATTGGTTAGTTTGTGTAGCGTTGGTTTGACCCTGCGTAGTGTTTTATTACTCACGCACACTTTCAAGGTATGAAGATCTTTCTCAACGTTAATGACAACTAACTACTTCTAAACAGTCTTAAAACATATGTCTGGACTGTCAGTCTGTGGGTAGACATAGTCGAGTTGTCTC